TTTCAAAAAGTCCACAGTGTAAACAAGGCTTCTCAACACTAGATTCAACTCACCACCACCCAACCCTCCCAGAAACAAGACAACTGCTGGGACCCTTTGTGCTAAAACAGACCCTGACTTTGGCCATGTCTATATTTACACCTAGATCAAAACTGCAGTGATAGATGCAGCGGTGTCGATTTCGCGGGTCTGGTGAAGACCTGCAAAGTCAATGGCGGAGCGCTCTCCCATCGACTTCTGTACTCCAGCTGCCCGAGAAGCGTAAGGTAAGTAGGCAGGAGAGCATCTCCTGTCGACACAGTGTGGTGTAGACACCACTGTAAGTCAACCTACGTTGCTTTCGAGTTCAGTTACATAACTGAAGTAGCGTAACTTACGTTGATTGACAGCTGTAGTGTAGGCCAGCACCTCCCTGCAGCCCGCCACTTCCCGCAGCTCCCATTGGCCGGAAACAGTGAACCGCAGCCACTGGGAGCTTCGGGGGTCTGTGCCTGCGGACGGTCAATGTAAACAAAATGTCTCGCAGCCCGCCAGCAGATTACCCTGATGGGCCGTGTGCCTAAGATTGCCGACCCCGTACTAAAGCAACATTTTAAAGTTGGGAGGGAAGAACTCAAGCTCTCAAAAAAGTCAAGAAATTGTAAAAAAAAGAAAAGTTTCCGCTGCAACTCTAACTTTGCCTTTTTCACAGCTGTGACATTTTCAATCCTATTTTTCTTGTAAAGTATAAATTGATACATGACCATAACAACATGGGCTATAAAATATATAGGACATAATATAGCCTAGTTCAAGCTGTAGGGAAAACTCTGTTTTTGGAGGTTCCTAACTTCTGAAAGTTTAACTTCCCAACGCTGACATTTTATTGCCATTTTGTTTCCCTTTCCACATTTAATATTCTATAAACAGAGGTAAAAAGATCAAAAAAAGTTATTCCAACATTTGATAATGGATTTGGGAGACATTTTCAATATTATGTCTTTTTTTCATACATTACAGGAGGCAGTTCTAACATTTTAATATTTTATTTCTTCAAGAGTTTACAAAACTACAGTAAAAGTCCTACCCAATTCTGAGCTCTCCCATAATCTCTTAAAAATACACAAACAGACATGCTAGTTACCTCCAGACTAAATCAAATAACCCAGCAACAATATAAGCATAATAAGTTAACTGACTTTCTCAGAGTCCACATAAGAGTCAAACCTAACCCCCACCCAGCAAGGGAGAAAAGGTGAGCCTTACACCCTGAAGATGAAAGAACACGAGCTCTTCCAGACCTGGAGAAGAAACAAGTTCCAAAGGCTTTAATGGCAAATGCCCTGCTGACTGAAACTTTAGCAATACATCACAGAGAGTCTCTTACAGTTAGTCCACTGCAAGCTGGAGTGTGCATCTACTCTGCACTAGCCTGCTGCACATTAACTGTTCATGTGGCCACTGTTAAGTTATGTTCCTTAGCTTGCTCTGATCTACCCCATTTTGAAATGGGACTAGATCAAAGCACACTAAGGAATGGTTAGCATGAGACAGGCTAGCGGGGCTTAGATTCATGCCCCAGTTTGCTGTGGGCTAACTGTTCGTGTAGACAAGTCCTTCGACATAGTGTGTCCCACAACATTTAGTGCTTTATAGGTTATCATAACAGGATAGCTGGCCCCTTAAACGAAATTATGCTCAGCTCTCCTGTTCCAGTCCAGGTGTGCCTAGTTTGGTGTGATGGGGATGGTGGGGCTGCCTCTGGCAGCTATAAATAAAAGTCCAGAATCCTGAGAGAGAGGGAGCTTAGAAGGAGAGTTTAGAAACCAGAATTAAGAGAAGAAAAACAGTCCAGTCATGAGAGTAAAGAGACCTCAGAGGAAGAGCAGATATGGGCTGGGAGCTTCAGGGAGGGTATGCTCCTGAATGAGGAAGTGGTGAGAGTCTGGTTGAGCAGTGGAGCCAGATCAGGCTGATGACAGCAGAAAGCAGTCAGGAGGTCACTCACAAACTTCCCCAGGCCAGAGAGCCTTGGTCAGACAGCTAAGAGCAGGAGAGGGAAAGGTCAGCTGGCTCTCTGAGCCAGAGAGGTGAAGCCAGAGGGCGGAGAGGACTGAGGAATGATAGAGGGGTGAGCCCGCTGATGTCTCTAGGCAAAAGCTAGAACCATACCTGAGAAGAACACAAGGCAGAGAAATACACCTGGTAAAGGGGCGCAGCTGGGGCACTGTGGGAGATGCCAAAGCCATGCTTGGTGCTGGATTGTTGTGTGGTAGGTTGATTCTGCTGTCTTATACATTTGCAAGTTTCATTGGCAAAGTTGATCACGTCTGAATTTACATCAAAAGGACAGCTAATAAAGACATACAATAAGCAGCTGCAAAGAATATAAAGGAGTACTGAATTCTCTGCACCCTCAAAAAGAACCTTTGGGAACTGGAAGTCCAGAAGGGTCCAGGGCTACATCTATAGAGCAGGAAATGTTTCTGCTTGACAACAGACAAATGCTTCACTATTGTGACAAAATCAACTCCAAAGATTACCTGAAATATTCAGTAAACCACAGTTCCAGAATCACTGTACTATAGAAAATAGAGAAAAGCTTTGGAGGAATACCTGAAAATTCAGCTCTGGCATAATGGGGAAGGCCTGAGAAGAAATAGGGTTCTATAACATGCACCAAATATGGTAAGATTTGGGCCCATTCTAATCTCTTTTGGTAGTGAATTCTGTACTTAAGACCTTTTACTGTCAACATTCCATTCAATAGTTTTTTAATCTGCAGTTGTATGTATGGGTGGACTGTTGGTGGGAAAACTCTAATATTCCCAGGTCCCAGCCTATTCAGGGCTTTGTAGATTAGGATCAGAACTTTGAATTGGATCTGCGATTTGGTGGGGAGCCACTGAAGGTTCTAAAGCCCATATGTGAGGTGTTCTAATTTGTTCTTTTATTTTGGCCCATAGTTTTTAAAAATAAATTTCAAATTCATTTTTCCCAATACACATGAATATCTTTAATATTAATATTACTGAAAATTTATTTATTTATTTATTAAAGTGGTGTAAAACACAGCAGATAAACCAGCAAATCTTTTTATAGATTTACATTTTTCCAGGGACAGGAGTATTTTAATCATTGCCTCTAGTCAAATTAGAGAGACAAGGTGGGTGAGGTAATGTCTTGTATGGGACCAACTTCTGTTGGTGAGAGGGACAAACTCTCGAGCTTACACAGAGCTCTGTGTAGGATACCACGGAGAAACCTAACAGTGGAAAAATTGGAACAAAAATCTGAGGAATATGCAAATATGAAGTCCCAGTTCAATTTCTAGACAGACATTAAATAAAATTAGTCCATTTTGTCATACCATCTGCCAGGCAGTTTCCAATTCTGTGTTGCACTCCAAATTACCTGTGTTTTATTCTGAAGCATGGATACAGTAAGTTATTTGTAAATCAGATAATGAGTTAAAAGGTCCAGGATTGAATTATGAATTACTGAAGTAAAGGAATCAAAAAGTGATGCATAGCAAAATCAATAAGAAAAAAAAAGTCTCAAATCAGGGTCATAAGATAGAATTCTGGGATCTCCTCTTCAATTGTTTGCTTGTGTTATTTTCAGAACTCATCACTAACTGCGCATTCAACATATGTATGTAGGTAGGACTAAACAAGTACTAGATTGAAATTTTAAGATTTGATTTAATCAATCAACTAAAGGTGTATGTTGTATTGTGTGGGAGATCAAGTGGAAAGAGAGATTCTTACACTTTGGACTGGTAACATCAGAAAGTTAGTCTGTTAAAAATAGCAACTCAAAGTGTCACTCATCAATAGTCAACTAGTACTAGAAAATCTATGTAGGCAGAATGAGGAAAGAGATTTAGATTAAGGCTTGGCAACTCTGATTATAAACAGAATTTGTAACAAAAGTTTACACACAGAACAACTATTCTGGGTGGTGTTTTCAAAAGCACTTAAGTGATTCAGAAGCACAAGTCCCCTTGAAAGTCTCTTCCAATTTTATAAGATATTTTAGAATAAGAGTAAGGGGAACAGATGTGCCTTTTCTTAGTGGGCATGCTGTTAAATAATTGTGCCACTTTCTCCCTAATGTTTTCATACAAATCTAGATGGCCAGTCATTACACAAGCTGGCAGCAGCAGACATAAGGGGGAGAATAAAAACTGTGAACAAGTATTTATTGGATAGTCTAAGATTGGATATAATGGTAGCATAGATTGGAAGGAAATCTTTCAACAATTGCTGCTGAACACTACCACACTAATACTGAAATAAAGCTAAAAAGCAAATCTGGAACCTAAACTTAGCCATTCAGAAATTCCAAAAACTGTCTCAGTGTCCACTAACATAATATATATAGTAATGGTGCCACCGACTGCCATGGGAGGTCATCACACAAAGGACAGGGAAAAGCAGAAGGTGGTTTCTTTTCAGATTTGTTTTCACAGAGAGCTCAGTAAAAGCAGATTAAATGTTTGAAATATTCAAAACAGATCTCCCTTTTGGCAGAGTCCAAGATGGAAATGATCCAGCATCAGTAAGAAAATGGAACAGGTTGTGCTGTAGACCTATTACATTTTATTTGAAAATATAAAAATTCATGAGCTTTTACTCAAAAAGCTATTTTCAAAATAATATATGGAGATATAACTATCTCACAGAACTGGAAGGGACCCTGAAAGGTCATCGAGTCCAGTCCCCTGCCTTCACTAGCAGGACCAAGTACTGATTTTGCCCCAGATCCCTAAGTGGCCCCCTCAAGGATTGAACTCACAACCCTGGGTTTAGCAGACCAATGCTCAAACCACTGAGCTATCCCTCCCCCCAAACAGTCAAATCAGAGTGAGGTTCACACACATACTTTTTTTTGGTAACACAAAATTTAAAAATAATAGAATGGTTAACTCCGGAACCCTATTTTAAAGAAAAAATTGCATTTCTGCAAGTTTACTTAAAATGTCAAATGAGAAAATGGTGCATTTAACTGATCCTTACTTTTAGAATATTTTGGGTTTCATTCCACTTGTTTGTCCACTCTTTGGTCAGCTCTTGTACCTATGAAATGAAACAAAAAGATAATATCCTATATTAAACTAGTCTCGTTTGAAATACCACACTTACTCTCACAACGGACTTGGCACAGAATTTCAGAGAACAACTTAAAATGCCAAATATTTGCCAAGGTTGTTGCTCCCTGCAACTGATTCCACTGCCAATATTGGGATCATAATTAAATGTCACCAAAATCTGTTACAGTGGCCACTTAAATTTTCCCCACCAAAATAAAGCCTGTGCTACTTATGCATTTGTTTGTAATCATTATTTGCCCAATATACAACAAGATGACAAAAATGATGGGCTATCATACCTCTGATTTTTATCTTTTTAGAAAGGAAAAGATATTTAAGATTATGAAGGACGTAGTGAAAACTCCTATTTGTAATGTTTCATAAGAACAAGGATGTAAAGGATGGTCACTTAAAATGGCAGGTAATTTCAGAACAAATAAAAGGATTTATTACATGCAGTGCTTAGTCAAACCTATGAAATCTACAACCGCAGAATGAGTTAAAGGTTATAGGCAAATTTTACAATGAACTGGAATAATTTGAGGATCAACTGTCACTGTGATTATGCATGGTAAGGTAAGAGTGCTCATGATTCAGGCCATATGTTGTCCAAAACGGTTTACAAAGGCTAATAATTACAGAAATGTTTTTGTGGTACAGTAAAAAACTTTCTTATCCCGAATGTTGGGGGAATGGTGGGGGGGCGGGGCTGGAAAAATTCTGGTTAACAAAGAGGGAGGGAATTTGGGTGCGGGAGGGTGCTCGGGGCGAGAGATTCAGGCGCGGGAAGGGGTGCGGGCTCTGGGAGGGAGTTTGGGTGCAGGAGGGGGCTTGGGGCAGGCCCTGCGCCAACCGGACTATAAACCGGACTTTCAATGAAGATCAGAAATGCCAGTTTATAGAGCTTTCTGGCTGGTAAAGTGCCGGATAACACAGCTTTTACTGTATTTTTATCTTGCCACTCATCCAATGCATGGGATTTACATTCATTTTTTTAAGACTATGTAAAATCAAGGAACAAAAACTAAAGAGTATAAATCTTTTTATTTAAAGTGTTTATATATTTCAATTAAAAAATTCAAATTCTTAATAATAAGAGTATCCTGGAATGCACTATTATAAATACAGGTCAGGACTTCAAGTCTTTAGATTATGGCTCAACAAATCTTAGATGCGTGTAACTGATATCTGTACAATGGCACACCTGTCATATGTTATCTTATTCCCCACGATAGAAATTAAATTTCAAAACTGAAATCCCTGATGAAGGCTCTATTTCTTTTATTTATATACATAAAAAAAGCACTTATCCCAGGCTCTCTAAATAGCTGACATAATGCATACAACGGTGTAGTTAGTATAAATTGTTCACAGTCCTTGGACACTGCCTTTTATTCCCAAGCAATATTTGATAATTACTTCTCTTGATTTTTTATCCTGGAATTAAGTTTATACATCTTTTACTACCTGAATCGACTTTCAAGTGGTGAAATGCTTAAACTCAAGACTAACTGCTTCTGTCTCCTTTAAGATTTATAGGTAAATTGATCATTTACTTAGAGGGACAAATAGCAATGCTTCCCTTCACAGCTCTGCCAAAATGACCTCATCTTAACTTGCAACCGTATCCTTCAGTTTCACAGTTGGGTTTATTTGTGGACAGACTACAAATTAAGATGCACTGTGTGGTAGTTATATAATATGGTCAACTGCCCACAAGGGAATAAGTTGAAATCAAATCAAATAAGTAGCTCATTTTCACTTGTAACCTAGGATTTAAACTCAGAAAGGAAAAGATAATACTTCTCTCCACTGTGCCACCTAGGTCCAGAATGCTGACAATCACAATATTAGTCTTGTCAATTATTTTCTTTTGTTTTTTTGAAGAAAAAATATTAAAGAATCCTGATGCTCAACACCTCTATCGTCACCATTTCTGGAGAATTTTTAATGCACCTGAGTTGTTTAAAGTAGTTCCTGTAACACAGCAATTAATTCATTCTAGAGAACTACTGTGCACTAGTCAGTTAATTTAAATATGGTAATAAAGTCTTTAGATCTGCAGAATCAAATTCACTTTTCAATTATAGAACAGCTTTACCCTTTGTAATAGGTGCTAAGAATGTGCAGTAATTCAGTAATTATGCTTGTGGTAATTATCTTAAGTAGCAATCACATAACCTATTAATGAGGTTGACAGTGGACAATAAAACATACTTGATAAACATCCCACACAGTGAGGACAACACTTCTGAATAGGACAAGCAATGAATACTATCAGAGCATGAAAAATATATTCCAATTAATACCATACATTCAGCAGTTTCTACCACCCATCTAAACATTCATAAGAACAATACTCAGGTAACACTAAGTATATTATTTGTAGTTTCATGTTTTTTAAACAAAAATGTAAACATAGTTTTTCACACATCAACTTGCCCTAAAAAATTAGTATTATGATCCAGAGTCATACATAATAATGTAGAGCTAACGTATAGTATCAATTAGCTGAGTCAAAAATGTGTTTCCTAAAAGGGATATACTAACACCAGAGATTTTAGCAGACTGAGTAATTCTAATGAACCAAATCCTCAGCCAGCTTCATTCAATGGAATTATACCAATTTACACCAGCAGAGGAATTGGCCCGGTGATTTTAGAAGATCATATATCTATATTTGATCCTTAAAGTAGGGTTGCAACTTTCTATTTGCAGAAAACTGAACACCTTTGCCCCGCCTCTTCCCTGAGGCCACGCCCCATCCACCCCTTCTCCAAGGCTGCGCCCCTGCTCACTCCATCCCCGCTTCTTCCATCGCTTGCTCTCCCCCACCCTCAGTCATTCGCTCATTTTCACTGGGCTGGGGCAGAGGGTTGGGGTGCAAGAGGGTGAGGGCTCCAGCTGGGGCCTCTGGGGTGTGGCTGGAGATGAGCCGTTTGGGGTGCAGGAGGGGGCTCCGGGCTGGGTCAAGGAGTTTCGAGTGTGGAATAAGGCTCCAGGCTGGGGCAGGGGGTTGGGGTGTGTGAGGGGGTATGGGCCAGAAATGAGGAGTTCAGCGTGTGGGAGGGAGCTCCGGGTTGGGGTAGAAGGTTGGAGTGTGGTAGGGAGTGAGGGCTCTGGCTGGGGGTGTGGCCTCCAGGCTGGGAACGAGGGGTTCAGAGGGCAGGAGGGGGCTCAGGGCTGGGGCAGGGGATTGGGGCGCAGGAGCAGGTTTGGGGAGCGGGTCCTTACCTTAGGCAGCTCCCAGGAAGCTGCTGGCATCTCCCTCTGGCTCCTAGGCAGAGGTGCAGCGAGGCGGCTCCACATGCTGGCCCTGCCTGCATGCACCGCCCGTGTAGCTCTCACTGGCTGTGGTTCCTGGCCAATGGGAGCTGCAGAGCCGGGGTTCGGGGCGGGGGCAGCATGCAGAGCCCCCTTGGCCACTACTATACTTAGGAGCCAGAGGGAAATGCTGGCAGCTTCCCAGGAGCCACGTAGAGCTAGGCAGATACCCTGCCTGCCTCGCTGCAGGTGGCCAACTGGACTTTTAATGGCCCGGTCAGCAGTGCTGACCAGAGCCACTAGGGTCCCTTTTTGACCAGGTGTTCCCGTCAAATACCAGACACCTGGCAACCCTAACTTAAAGATTCTAAATACTCCACACACACACACACAAATCTGATTAATGCTACCCCTTTTTGTACAGTCTGCTATTGTCTAAATATGATCAACATGAAGCAGATAGTCAAGGACTAAGAAGAGGGTTAAATTCTCAGATATGAAAGATATAGGTCCATTACGTCTAGACTCATATGTTCAGTTATCACTACTGCACATGAAAATAGCTTACAAGTTATCTAAATCAGTGGTTCTCAAAGCCGGTCTGCCGCTTGTTCAGGGAAAGACCCTGGCGGGCTGGGCCAGTTTGTTTACCTGCCGCGTCCACAGGTTCGGCCGATTGCGGTTCCCACTGGCCACGGTTCGCTGCTTCCAGGCCAATGAGGGCTGCGGAAAGCGGCGCGGGCCGATGGATGTGCTGGCCGCGCTTCCCGCAGCCCCCATTGGCCTGGATTATAAAAAGTTAGAAAAAAATAAATCTGAGGTTTTTACATCTAGTTGAATTTAAGAAAATGCTGCTTTGTAAAATAACCAAACAAACAAACAAATGGACAAACAAACCACAACATTAAAGTCAGTGTTGATAAGTGTGAATACCAAAAAGTTCCTGAAAATGAGCTGTTACTACTCCAGCATCCAGATCACATTTATCTCTAAAATAAATATAGAATTATAACTTACTCTTGCTTCATTCTGCTGAAGCTTCTCCTCCATACTTAAAGCTGTTGGAGAATCCAAGAGTGCAATCTAAATTGTAAAACAACTCACATTAGTATATAGTAAAATAAACAGTACAATGGATGGTGGATTAGAAGGTATGAAATATTATTGTGCAGGTATTTTAATAAATTTGTATAGTAAATCCTGTTCTAGTCTTTATCTGCAATGGATGACATTTCATCTTTATCCATATAAAATATTCACATTGCCACTAATCTTGTCAAAGTATAAATTTGAAATACAAATCAGTAATTTATAATTTTACACACACACTTTTACTGATTTGTCTACATTCATATTCTGCTGAAGGCACACAACATTTTGACAAATTGGCTCTACAAACATCAATTTTTTAAAAATGCAGTAGATGACAATTTACTATGCATGAGTGTCTATTTAACTATTCTGCTATAAACATTTCTATGTGTATGACATTTGTATTGTAAAAATATATCTTGTTAATTTGACTGTGGAACGTGAAAATTACTAATATTTACAAAAATGTAAGCAGTTTTCTTTGTTATATAACATTGACTAGTGTTGGATTTTGGGTAAATAATTATCAGTGAGCCATGGTGGCATTTGCAATACAATATTCTGGGAATATAAAGACTGTCCATAGAAGAAACTATACAGGGATTTATATTCTATTGTACACATTTACCACCACCTGCTGTTTTACCAAGCAGCACAAATTCAATTAATTTAGTCTTGTTCGGCATTATATCCCTCACAGACATTTATAACATAAGAATTGAAATTCTCTGGAATTCTTCATAGCATAGCCATATTTATTTTGCGATATCTACTCTTTTACACCTTGGAACAATGTCAAAGTATTAGATCTTCAAAACAGTCTAAAATATGTGTACCCAGAGTTTGCAAAGTCAAGCTGTGATTTCAGAAATAAAAATTGTCAGCTTGCCAGCAAAATCACTCAACTTTTCCCCCAGACAAGCACAGGACAAAGCACAGAGTACAACAGAATAATTTCACCCTTATGGAGGGTTTTCGGTTTTACTATTTACAATACAGCAGAATCGTACTAATACTTCCTTTAGTAATCTGCAAACCTGATATTTTTCACAAAATATGCAGGGGGACCTCATCCCATTTCTCAAAGCAGGATATTGTGGACAATTAAGTTTTCATTTTGTTTTGTTTGTTTTTTTACAAAAAGTCCCATACTACACTGACTAGCTTTGATATCTCATACCATAATTAAACTAAATTATTTTTACTTATAAAAATAAATAAAGTAGTACAATTTTTAATATCATTTATTTGTGCCCTCTCAATCATGTTTGTTCAATAACAAAATCTGGTAACCCACAATAGCATTGTTTGGAAATCTCAATTAGCCAGGTTCTACTATAGACCTTTAAACCACATTCCTTAATTTCAAGAATCACCATGCTAACGTTAGCTTGTTTTTGTCATCCAGAGACAGATATTCAAGTTAATCACAGTTTACGGCACCCAAAAGAGATAAAAAACTAAACAGAATAAGGATAAATAGAAAAAAAAATTGAGGGACTGTACTGCTTAGTATTGGATAGAGAATTCTCTTGATGCCAATCAGCATTCCATACAATACCTTCCATATGGAATTAAGCACAATTCAAAAGAAGCTGTGCTTCTTTATATATGATCTCTTAATATGCATATTTGACACTCAAAACTTTGCACTGAAGAAGACAAGTACTCCTCAACTGAACAGGGGTCCTGGGATGGACAGTAGACTAATAGCAAGACTAATTAAACAACTATTTTTCAAATAAATTTTACATGTCTTACGTTCTGAACTTATTGATTAGAAGACTAAGCAAAATGGGTTGGCTGTGTCCTTATATCTTTATTGAATCGGTTTGTTTTATTCATAGTTTTCACTTTGTACTATATGGAGGTATGAACAATGTTTTTAGATGTTTCTAAGCACACTATTTGCTCTCTGGAGTACTACATAGTCAAAGACGATGTGGTTACAAGCTTTTCAAATACCCTACCTTTATCTTCAGTATAATATTTCCAATTCTCAACATGAATTTAATCTTATTTGCAAAGTATGTGTTGAGATATTTTATGGTATCTTGAATATTCTTGTGCTGGAAAAAAAATGTACAAGGGTATCTTTTCAACCCATTAAGCTAGGCATACCTATTTCTTTACTGTTAATGGGGTGGTGTACCTAACTGCCCATATGCTGCAGTGAATACTTACCCACAACATATAATTATGTTCTAATCATATCAAAGCGAGGTTAAAAATTTTACACAAAAGCCGATATCACACTCGCCAATTGGAAGCCAATTCAAAAGAAGAAAATTACATTCATTCATGACTTCACAGTGCTTGTTTTTTCAGATCAATATAACGAAAAAAGATAATGATCTCATTAGGATCTAGAATTAGATGCTATTACTCAAAGAAAACTATACATAAATCTAAAACTAACCTGATTCCCTTGAGCGAGCAAGGTTTTTAATCGGGCTATTTCAGCTCTCAGCTCACGAATTAGTTTGACGTTAGGATCCTCATTAATAGTAGGCTTGTTGATGATGTTTTTGGCTCTATTTGCATAGCGAAGCGTACTTAAGGTTTCTCCATAATTGACATCAGCAGGTGAAATAGCTGAGAATTAATTCAGAAATAGTTTAGCCAGCACCAGATGTTTCATTTAATAAAGTTGGTTTGTAATTTAAATGTCAGATAAGCATCTTGCAGATGGAGAAAAAAAAAAAGGTCAATTATTCAGAGATTTGTAAAAAATCTTGCCATCAACCTAGCTGATTTTTATAAAACTCAGAGGTTCATCAACTCAGTGGTGAGCATACCATGCTCCTTGAATGTATACCCTATATAACAGAGTTCAGACTCAAGAACAGGAGAAAGCAGTACATTTATTCTAAGTCTCAATACCATCTTCAAATGAGGAAGTTGATTCAAACAAACAACACTAATTGTCCATTTTTAAAAGGAAATTATATGATACCTTGACAGAAACTAGACAAAAAAAAGAAGAGAGAAGAAGCCACAGCACCCACTTATAAACTTGGTCTTTGGGCTGAGCTGTGGGTGTATGGCAGCACACAGTCCTATCCTTGAAATAACTGCTTCCAAGGCCCATGTGATGCACAAAAAGACTCCAGTAGTGCTCTTCTACGGAGGCAATTTAATGAGAAAGAACTGAATGTGTCAATAAATATTCTTTTCTTCACATATTTTTCCAGTATGGCAGCCATTCATTACTGCTTCTAAAAGCAAATGGACAAGATATTCCCAAGATTTTTAAAAAGTGAGTCCTCAAATACAAATAGAGTAGCAAGGTATGGGACAGATATTCTACAGTGGTATCTAACATCACAGCACAGGAGAAGAGGACACTACTCAGAGAAGAGATGGGATACTGACCTTCACTAACAAGATGTTTAACACCTTTATAAGACTGAATAGGAGAATAGCAGAATGAGACCATGTGGGCTCTGAGAAGGTAACTAAACAATCATCGGTAGAAGAATGTGGTATTTTCTCTTTGCCTCATTCTGTGTTTATCACAAATATATGGGCTTTTCCCTTGTCTGTGGTTCACAAATTTGGGGATGGAGGGGGATGGTATGTATTTCCCTCAGCTCTTGCCCTGTATCCCTTTATGCTACACACTGCGATAGCTGCTATCATCACTCCTTTATTCTACTCATTCATGTGACAGATTGTACCCTTATGTTCACCACTTTTACAAAATTATGATAAATTTTGTGCAGAATACAAACTGAAAACTCATAATTTGCTGATCAGTATTGTGCTGATCAAATATGTGGCAACATTGTATGTAAATTTATAAGATTCTATTGTATGATGTTACTAAGGCATATTCCAAATCTGGAAAAGCAGCCCAGACCAGTTCCTCAGAGACAGAAAGGCAAACTGATGGCTCAGTCAGGTGTTAACAACTTCAAATGGACTATCACCTGGTTAAGTGGTTATTCTTTGACAGTTAGAAGGGCGTGAGTGAGAAATTTACATCGTGGCAGACAGACTTGCTGTCGCCTGAACCCCAGCTGAAGATGATTCTTGAAGAGGAGGGAAAGATATAAAAACAAGGAACCGAGGCCCCAAATCACCTCTCTCCCCTCATCTCTACTCACGGCATCAACATTTGAAAGACAAAAGGAGCATCATTGAACTGAGGGACTGGTCCTGGCTGAAGGAATCCAGTCAGACTGCTGTAAGCATATGGTGAGAGAAAACTTTTGCTTTAAATTCACTTAGCTTGTTAGGTTAGGTATTAATTCATGTTTTACCTTTTATTTCTTTGTAGCCAAATTTGACTTTTATGCCTCATTACTTCTAAGCATTTAAATTCTATCTTTCTGTAGTTAATAAACTTGTTTTATTTTATCTAAACCAGTGTGTGTTTTAACTGACGTGTTTGGAAACCTCCATTTGATAAAACAGGGTTTGTGCATATTATTTTTTATTAATGAAATGGCTGACTTTTTATGAGCCTGTATTGTGCAGGAGGGTGCCGGGCAATACAAGACGCACATTTCTGGGGACAAGTCTGGAACTGAGAATTTCCTGTTGTCACCCTGTAATATAATTCAGGAGTGACTGGCTGGAAAAACTTGTATAATTGAGCTGGGAGTGATTTTGCATGCTAGAGGCTGTGTGTAAACAGACCAGGAGTGGTTATTCTCACAGCAAAGCAGTGTAAAAGGCACCCCAATTGGAGCACTAAGGGGACACAGCTGTTCAACCATCCAGATTGTATCCTGGGAAATGTCACAATTCCCTTATGGAAAAATCCTTTATAGTATTTAATAGGCAAAGAGGATTGTAATTATTTTGTATTTGTTTCTAGTGGTGCCCGTTAAGTGTTAGGTGCTTTTAACATGTATGATTCCCAAAAGCCAGATATCTGGTACCGAGCTCAGTCAACTGGACCTAAAAAAACTCTCCCATCTGTAGTATGAGGTGGCCTTCCTGATCTTTGCAGGTTTGGTTAAAGAAGAGGCAGACTAAACACATTTGGGCTGTGTGACTTTCTTACAGACACCAAACTTAGGTGTCGGTAACAGACATCATGGCATTACAAACACTGGGCTCCCAAATGCTTCCACCATGTTGTAGGTCAGACACTGGGGGAAAGGGGGTGGGGGGGGGGGAAGAGAGAGAGAGAGATGAACTACAAGGGAGAGGGGGAAAGTGAGCCTAGCAGGAATGACATTAGAAGAAGGGGAAGCAGCCCAAAGAGCGCAGTGTCCTGGATAATGCCTATAATGGCATGGACTCTGAAAACTTGTTTTTAAACAAAAGAAACTGATTGACTAGATAATTATAAAAAAAAACACCTCAAGCAGCAAAAAATACTCAAAGGAAGAAACAAGTAGTGTTGTGAGCAGACTGTTACTTTGACATTTAGAAATGACTAAATGGAGTTGGAGGCCACAGCTCCTGTTTATACTCCTAAAAGCCAGCACATGGGGAGGGAGTGGCACAGATTTCTAAAAGATTTCAAGATCATGTACTAGAAGCACTTATCCTGGGAGTGCCAGTCCACTAGGTAGTTCTCACTGAAGAACCAGAACTTTATCAGTTACCTTCCAGATGCTTCCCCCAGCCTCAGAAGAACCCATTGAGTTACACTGCACTTGCATAAGCAAAGGACAAGTGAGAACCCCAATTAAAGTAATTTTTCATTGTCCTTCACCCTTCAGGTCTGCTACACAAAACAAACAACATACATAGCCCAATCTCACTGCGGTTTTATTTCTTTATAATCTTGTTTGGAAACATACTTGACATTTCAATGGGCTGATGAACAGTGGGATAAGTGAGACCATGGCACATTTGCCATGTGATGTAGAGATAAATGTTTGTTGAGTGAAAAGAGCCATTATTGAACTTTTTGTTTAAACTGTAAAAAAGTTCTCATAAGAGCAGCTTATAAATGATGAAGCTTAACACAACAGATTAAAGTGCTGTTAATGTCAGAAGACTAACTATGTAGAGATGGCACATTCTTACTTAACAGATCTCCCTCCAGTGTGTATTCTGAGTCAAATGTGACCACATTATTCTTTATTACTATTTTCTCCTATAATACAGTTACAGTAAAGTAAGCTAGCTCACACACATCAACAAAATTATTGGGTATATTCACATTGCTGGATCTTCATTACTGGTGATGATACAAAAGCCAGAAGGAGGGGGAAAAGTCTTGACTTTTAGATCACAGATTGAGGGTGCCCGGTGTGAGAGCAGTTAAAACACACACAAACATACACAAGTAAACTGAGTTGTCTCGGAGGCAAATGAATCACAACATAATAGGGATGTTTGATTTCAGGCTTAATTGATCAGATTAGCTAAACAGTACAGCTTTAGAAAATTAAATTTCTAAAGAAGGAATAAAAGGTTTTCAAAGTGGTGGTCGTAATTATGCACATACGTTTGTGCACACCCTATTTATGCATGAAGTGCCCAGTGAATGCACATAAACTAGGTATTTGGCATACAGGATCAATTAGACACAGCTAGTGGTATGCACATGCAAACACCTGATTTCCACACACAAATATCTGCAATTGTGCATGTCTACCTGAAAATTTGGTTGTATATATTTAGTAATAAAATAGCTTTTGCATTTTTTTTATTTTAAGCATACAAATATTTATGTCCTCATTCCACTGCTAGGTACCCATGCTACAATTATTTTTTTAAAAGGACAACAGTGTTCATGTCATACTTTATGAAGAAGAGAACAGTTAACGAAGGGGTATGGACTGTATTAGAAAGCTTTGCTCTCCACAGTAATCATTAATTTAACAAGGTGTAAATAACACCATTTCTTAATGAGGCATTTGGAATCAAAATATTTACAGCTAATTTGTATAAAGTGTTGAGAATGAAGAAAAGTAATTTAAAACACTTACTGGCAATCATTATCGTTTTAGAGTTTCCTCCTAGGCTATCTTTCAACAGCCAAGTCAACACAGAGTCCCTGTAAGGCACAAATACTTGCTTCTTCTTTGCAAGAGGATTTGTTGCATCCTGAGATAAATCAGCTGTGAGATGGGAAAAAAGCAATTCTGTATATTGATTACTTTTTTAAAGAAATTAAAACCATTGAACTATTACCCACTCCAGTGGATTCAACACAAACCAACTGCAAAAACAGATATATATAATACTGATGCAGAAAGAGGACTGAGCATGAAAGAAAATAGAGACATACCTAAGGCAGAAATGACATTTCCCAGAGTAACTAGAGATTTGTTAATATTCCCTCCTTCCTTTAATCTAACCCCTGTAGCACCAGTGGCATCTGCTCTCTCACTTCCAGCAAGATCTACCAAATGGATCTTGCTAACAGTCTCACAAGGCATTTCAGCATCAAATTTAGCCTAAAGAAAAATACAAAAAGAAAATAGAAAATAATGGGTTAAGCTACGAAGTTCTGGAATCTTACTGAATTCAGTTTGTATCTTCCATGTCATGTTTCATTTGTTTGCAGTAGTAGAGCTTTAGAAGTCAGATGTACTAGAGGTACCAAAGAAAGGAGTTCCGTTCACAAGCAGCTGCATAATACCCATTTAACTCATTTTCATAAGTAATATTCCAAGCTATTTACATATACACACCAACCACAAATGTCTTAAAATGTATTGATATTTTAAAGAAGTACAATCAACTCACCTGTTAAATCTGTATTAAATTTTTGGTTAACATTCAGTGTTACACTTTTTACATACACACACACACACACACACACAACCTTTTCACTCAGATTTCCCCATCATACTTTTATAGTGTCTTTGAACAATATATTGATACCAGTTGTTGGCTTGCCTCCCACCCTTCTCTAAAAGCTGTGAGCTGAGTAATTCACTGTTCCCAAAATACACAACTTTTTGCAACATGCCATGGAAAAAATGAAAACTGTGCATCCATGCCAAATTCTACCTTCCTTCCATCCTCCCTCCATAAAGCTCTCCCTAGGCCTACTATCCCCACAAAATTACAAAAAAAAAGTAAACTCCCTTTTCTAAAGTTGACTGCTACTGGGAATTGGAATGGAAAACAAATACCTAGAAGGATGTATTTGGTCACCCCATTACTCCAGAGATGAATGAGATGAATGTCCATTCAAGTTAGGACTTGAGTGGCCAGAAAAGGAACAGTTAATGGGAGACCAGTTTGGGCCATGGGACTGTATTCCAGGAGTGTCTGGCCAACATTAAAGCATAAAAGGCAGTCACCACTTTTATGTGCTACTTTTATGCAAATCACACATAATTTTCAATGCTTTTCCCGTGTTGTTGGGATTCTATGGCAACATAAGGGACTGTGCTTTAGTTATTCACTGAGTTTTAGCTAGTTTGAGTTTCGGTCAATTATCTCCCAGAATGGTGCATCTGAGAAATGTTGTTTTAAGAATTACTAGGCACTGTAATGTACAGTGTCTTAATACAGTCACCGAGAAGTTCATCATACCACACTTAACTCTAACAAAAACTTACTCTTCCCTTTCTCTGCTGCAGAAGACAAATACCACCCACCTGCCTCAACAGGTGAGGGAAACTGATGGGGCTGGTGGTAAAGGGGGTCAGCCCTAGCATTGAGGGAGGGAGACACTCACTGAAGGACACCAAGTAGCTTCTCCCGACCTTGGAGTCTCTAACACCCATTGGCCAGTTGTAGAGGAGAGGCGCTGATTGGGTCACAGCCCCAGCTCTGGGGATTTAACGTGCCATCTGGAGCCTCCTTCAGCTCCATTCCAGCAGCTCCACCATATCCACCCTGAACTAAGAATAGGAATTCAGTCTGCCAGATGCTGCAGGTCTAGTCGATTGCCTTGGGGGTCAGGAAGGAATTTTTCTCCCAGAGAGCCAACTGGCAGAAGCCTGGGGAGTTTTTTCACTTTCCTCACACCTCCTTCACACCACAAGTGACAGTAGGAATGCACTTAGTACCTAACTGAGGTACTTGGTTGAGCTGTTAATTCATCTCAGCCTGGGTTTTCAGTGCAGCTGAAAGGATAAAATGAATGTTTCCCAGAGGTAAAAGACCTGGGATTTTTGATGGGCCTTGGGTTCATGGGACAGGGTAAGGCCAAAGTCCCCACCTTTCTGCACCTTCTGTCCCCTTCATGGTGAGGAGTGGTGGTAGGCCTCATACTGAGCTGAGTGCTAGGGGATAGTCTAGGGAAAGTGTTATGTGGTAGGAGCCCTTGTACCCTCCCCACTTAAATGCCTGGTATAGACAAGTAAGTGTGATAGGCGGATAACACCCCTCCCCTGTGTTTAAGCTTAAAAAAGTTGCAGCCTGCCACTTAAAATCCATCCAAGTGTCTGTCCTTGTTTCATCACTGTGGGTAGGTCCACACTACCCGCCCGATTCGGCGAGTAGAGATCGATCTTCTGGGATCGATTTATCGCGTCTCATCTGGACGCGATAAATCGATCCCAGAAGCGCTCCCCCGTCGACTGCAGAACTCCTGCTCGCCGAGAGGAGGAAGCGCTGTCGACGGGGGAGCTTGCCTGCGCCGCGTGGACCCGCAATAAGTAAACTTAGTTCGATCTAGGAAACGTCGATTTCAGCTACGCTATTCTCGTAGCTGAATTGCGTTTCCTAGATCGATCCCCCGCCCCAGTGTGGACCAGCCCTGTGTTTGCATCAATAGAAGTAACTGGGTCTCCCAAGTTGCTGATTTGACAGTTACATGTTTCAGTTAGCAAATAAGTTATTACATGCAAATATTTAAAGACAATGCAATTTTTTTTTACCTGAGTGAAGTTGACCGTGAAAATGGCATGAGACCTGCTGCTAACGTCATTCATTCCAGTTGCAGCAGTGGTTCGATTTATGTTTCCTGCTTCCATAAGTTCCTCTACATCGCTGTAATTTTGTACTAAATGTTTGGACAAATCTGAACAAAAGCAAAAATGATTATAAATTAAAATAAGTACACTTATGAAGGTACTGTGAACTGATTGAGATTCAAGTCTACCTCAGTACAATGCAGCAGTGCTCCAATAACACAGAAAGCGTTTATAGTCAGATTTCCTTTATTTCTTTTAAATAGAGGAATGAGACGTTGTGCGAAGAATACTTCTTCAGACTATTATTATAAAATTTACAGTAGAACAGTTTAAAAGATTGCATACTTCTCTTCGAAGCATATAGTATATGTCTAACCTCTCAAGAGAAAAGGGCCTGCATTGTCAGAGTGGTAGACTAAGATAGTTAGAGTCTAATAGATCCTTTCCATTTCAAACATCCATGATTTATAAGTTAGCCCCCAACGCTGATTTGAAATCAATTAGCAGAGCTTCACCTTCAGTAAAAAAGTGCTGTACTTTAGAAGAGTTTGGAAATGAGAACTGTACAAAATAAAAAAGGCTGTTCCCAATAATGCTTTTACATTGATGATGAAATATATTGTCTTTCACCTTCATCTTCATTTGCATTTACAATTTAAAAACAAAAAACAGGGACATACACTTAAACATAAACCTGAAAATATTAAGTAGAAAGCAATGAAGTGATTTTACCCTCAACGTAAGGCCCTTCTTTCGGATGCTCTCGTATTCTTAAATTATACGTTTTTGATGATTTCCGCCTAAGCAGATCTCTCACGCGTTCATTATATATTTCCAGATAACTGAAACAAAAAGTATTTGAATTTAGAAAAATACTGAATGATACAAGATTTAAAAGAGCAAAATTACTGGAAAGAGCTCATTCAGACGGTAGAATTGAGCCTCAGTCCTGCAAGTTTACATAGGAGTGATTTCACCCACATGAGTCCAATTGACTATTCAATCACTCCTGCATGTAGGCATTCTGCAGGACAGATCCTAATTTGTAACTTTTTCACCAAGTTATGATACCATTCACAATATAAGCTCTATGGTAACATTTTCTAAAGATCGCATTATGATGTAAACATCTCCATGCGTTTCCTGGTGTTTTGTTTACTGTAATATGCTTCCTAACCCAATACCACTGAGAACTGGTATATCTTGATGCAAATCCTATTACTACCGATACTTGTAGCAACAGAAAATAAAGTAAGCTGTTAAACTTCTTTTCTTTTTATACTTTGGACATTAGAAAATGGTCTAGTAAAAGAGGTTAAAAACTTGTTTTCATCATGATCAAGTGATAACAGGATGTAGAAAAATCTAATATTTTTCATAATTATTACTCTTGCTGCGTACAAAAAGCCAAAAAACTGCAGAATTAAAGTATTTTAAAATTATTACAAACGGCGCATGCAGCAATAGCTGAAGTTAAGGTCGTTTAAGTGTTTCCATTCTCAAGAGCTATTTCAACTGACTATAAATCATGTCAAACTTTCACCATCTGAGATGAAGTTTCCCGGGTTTGGTCTCGGTCTGCAGTGAAATTTTTGAATGCAAGGGGAAGGATTAGTGAAGGATGCTTTATAAAAGCATGAACATTTTCAATACTAAAAATATATATATATACATACATACATACATACATACGTACGTACGTACGTACGTATGTATGTATGCATGCATATATGTGGGAGGCCCAGCAGAGAAGTACTGAAAACATTTTACCAGAGCTTTCCACAAAAATCCATTTTCAGGCTGAGAAGAAGAATAAGTTTCATCCCTAAAACCACATTGTACAAAAAGATACTAACGTGAAAACAAGGAGTTTATAACAGAGTAGGTTCATTCCCAGCAATCTTTGTAACATACACAAAACCTACCTGACTTCTGTTCGAAATGATGCTTCATTCCATCTTGTTTTTTCATTTATTCTGCTGAATAATCCTTCACAAATTCTAGGTATTAAACCAGCATCACCCTGCAACAACAATTTTTATTTTCTACATCGCTACATGTACGCACTATATATTTTTAAAACAGAAGAAATCACTAGTTGAAATTGACAATACCCAGAGTCATTGTGCCAGATATACAGCAGGGAATTATTAGCAAATATTCTTAATATCACATTTAACGGACATAACTTGGAGGTTAAGCAGTTTGCAATTCAGATCCTAGCACAGGCCCTTAGTTTGGGGTTAGATTTTACCCTGTGCCCTACACATTTGGTCCATACAAATCTCACCTACTTAAACCAGAGGAAGAATCCAGTTCTCCCGAACAACATTTAACTGCCTTAACCATGAGACCATCCTTTCTCTCCCTGAAACCCTTTGCCTCATTCACTACACACCTTCCGACATCTGCAACAAAAGCAGGGGTCCTACAGACCACAACCTCATGCACTAAATAACCCTGATCCAGCCCCAGAGCAGATCCATCTTCCGCACTGAGTGAGGCAGAGGTCCTGTGGAAAATATAGCATGCAATAGCGTAATTAAAGACTATCATAATATATGTGCACCAGGGGGGCAAATTAGGGAAATGCAAGAATTAAAATTGCCTTATTTCTGAGTGCTTTATTTTGCAACCTTAATGTTCTTTTTGCACAGTTGTTTGTGTGTAATTTCCTAGGTTTCTGAAAACTGAAAAAACAAAATTTGAATAATGTAGAAACATACTGACACCTGCTGATGGGGAAAAATATAAAAGCGAGACAAAGACATAAAAGCCTGCCAAAAAATATTAATTTTAATGAAAAGTATGGGCCAAAATATTAACATAACAGTCACTGGATTAACCCCTTTGTTTCATATATTCCAGCACACCCATGTGGTTTATCAGCACAAACCTCTGCCACTTGAGCTAACAGAGCAACTAATAACAGTAGTAGGTTGTTATCTTCTATGTGGACCAACCACTAGGAGGCAGCTGAGACACTTCCCCCAAGGGTTTCACAGACATTTACTGGCAGCAGAAGAATGTTGAGACACCAGAATCTTGAGTTCACTTTCAAGTATTGGAGGGGAATGTGCTCGAGTGCAGTGGTGCCCACACTTTTTAATGTCATGACCCCCTTTAGGCTCCCTCTGTTAACACGAGACCCAGGATAAGCAAGCCCACCCTGCCCAGGGTGCCCTCAAAATTTTCTCTCATGGTATGCCTGGGAGACAGGGGGGAGAAGGGGCGGAAGCCTGATTCTGCCTCCCCCAGGGAGGAAGGAGGCCAGGTCCTTCCCAGACAGAGCCAAGTATGCACTGTGCATCTGGCTGAGGGTACCATACAGTGCCACTCAGGTTTGGGCCATCCCACTGTTCTAATTTTCTAATTCTAATTGCTGAACAGTTTTAGAAAAAAAAAAAAAAAAAAAAAACATATATACATATATAAAATGATCCTGAAGCAGACACCCAGCATGGAAAATCTCAGTCCAAGACAATTAAAGTTTGGCATACTGAAAACACAGTCTTAGTAGATAGGAAGTGTTGTGTAAACTTAACTACAGGCCCCAGATATAAGAAGCATGTGCTTGGACCTTTCCTTTATTTTATATTTCTGTTTAAGTTAGCCATCAATTTTAAGTTGGGGGGTTTTGGTTGTTTTGTCAGTAATATAGCTGCATATTTCTTATTAAAATTAATTAAAAGTGAACAGAAATCTAAAAAAGCATGCATCTAAAACCAATTATGATTACACACTAGTGAAGTCTTCATCTGGGGACCCATTCTGCTAATGAATACACTGTTATTAGAATATTATCAGACATTATCAGTGCCACTTACAGAGTTTGGCAATCAATGCATATTTGCTAATGGCACTGTAAGCTCTAGGAGGGTGAAGAGTCCCTTGACTAGAATTGTAGTACTAGTACTTTAAGGAATAGCAAAAAAAGGGAATTATTTACTTTTAACTTGAATTTTGTCTATTATAAGTAGAGCCTTGGGTCAAATGTTTTATACAAGTGATTCTGTGAGCCAACTGCCATTGTCTCTCAATTTATATAATCTTATATATACAGCCAAAGTAGAATAATTATAGCTCACAGCGAGAAGAATCAATGGAGACCTCTATTTCTGAGTTGGGTCAAACAAACATTGCTACTTGTATCATAGCAAAATCTCTTGAGGATAATGGCCACTAGATTTACTCAGGAAGTCTCACAATATGCATGTTACTTAGCACACCATTTTCAGCAATTTATATCTTTCATTCATAAAATTGTCTCTGGCCCTAACATTCTATTATGCTTATTCACCATACAGAAAAAACTTCATAACATTATACATGAAGTTACTTAGGGCGTGGTTACACTTGAAACTTCAAAGCACTGCCGCGGGAGCGCTCCCGCAGCAGCGCTTTGAAGTGCGAGTGTGGTCGGGCGCCAGCGCTGGGAGAGAGCTCTCCCAGAGCTGCAGGTACTCCACCTCCACGAGGGGATTAGTTTACAGCGCTGGGAGCGCAGTTCCCATCGCTGGGGCACTGTTTACACTGGCGCTTTACAGCGCTGTAACTTGCTGCGCTCAGGGGGGTGTTTTTTCACACCCCTGAGCGAGAAAGTTGCAGCGCTGTAAAGCACCAGTGTAGCCAAGCCCTTATTCTGTGTGTATAGTAATATGTAAAAGACAGAGCCAAATTCACACTTGCCAGCTTAGGGAGGTGAAAATTAGTGACACAATTACAGCTCAAAAAGGATTTAACTGGCAGAGGGCAGGTGGCAGCCTTCCCTTCTTAAATTCTGCTGGCAGAGGGTGGTTATTATTTTAGCCAAGGATTACAAGAGAGAGTCTAGCTAGCAGACGATGCTTCTGGGATGCACCTAATCAGCATGCCATTGGCTGCACAGCTCAAAAGTTTCCTCAGCCGGTTCCTTCCCCTTTTAAACAAGCATCCCCCCTCAATGGAGTCAATTGTGGGCAACTCTCCTCCTGTCAGAATGCCCCTCCAGTTGGACTTTCTTTTGCTAGGGGTCCTGTGCCAGAGTTAGCCAGAACTTTAATCCTTAAAATTAAAGTCTGCGTAATGTTTTTAAATGGTAGGTTAAAAACTCAAACTCAGCTGTGATCATTCTCAGTTCCCATTCCCAACTTGAAGTTTTATTTTCCAAATAGGAATCAAACAGCTATCTTGATTTTTTTTTCCCCCACTCAGAACCAGGCAGACTCTTTCAGAAAGTGCTGAGCATTCATACTCTCAAAATCACGGCCCCTTTAAGGTGTCTCAAGTTGAGTACCCAAAAACCACTAGTCACTTTTGAAGATTTTTGTTCTGATCTGTGCACGACAAATAGCTTATTATTAAATGTAACAGCAACACAAAGATATTTTTTCTGATTTAAAATTTCTCCCACATAACTATAGGGAACTTTGAAGACTCCCATGTAACTACTAAAAGTTAGATATAAAATGGAAATAACAATATGCAGACATGGTAGAGAATGATGGTTCCAAAAGGAATCCAACTGCATTATAAAACTGAAGTCTGCAAAACACGACGTACAGCATTTCCCATCATAGTGTAGGACTTCCCAGATCCAGTCTGTCCATACGCAAAAATACAAGCATTATAACCTTCAAAAGCAGATGCAAGGACATCTGTGCCAAGATTTTTGAAAACCTAAAAACAAAAACAAAAAAGGTTTTTTAAGAGACTGAACAGTTAAAAAAAATCATTATATCTGCAGTAGTTTTAATGATAGTTTAATGCATTCTATTCAACATAGCATTGCAAATACTACAAAACAGCAGAGATATACTAACACACACAAGCCATCGGTTTGGACCAGTGATATTTGCTTTAGAGAATTAGCTAGGAAGCGTCTTGATTAAATGCAGAATGTTACTAGTACATTTAATTTACAGCAGTGCCAAAGTATTCTTTTCACTTTCTCTGTCAAACCTAGATCTTCCCCAATTTTTTTTTAATCTAATCTCAGGCACTATCTAATGACCATCTTTCTGCTATTGTTAATAGTTACTTTACACTTTTAATATTTTCCCCAATGCTACAGAATTTGAAAGTGTCTATTCCTGTCTGAAAAAGAAAACTCTTCCCTGATCCTGAGACTATGAGTGGCCTTTTTTCAGCCAAGTGTAAGAGGCAAGTGGCCTTTTTCCTCTCACCAATCACCTCTTGCATAATAGAACTTTTGAGTTTAATCTCAGTTTCCTTCTGGCCAAAGCACAGAACATGTCTTCTTTATAGTAATTACCTTCTTTCCTCAGATAGCCCCTTCTCCTTTTGCCCTCAAATTTCATCAAATCTGACACTGTAGAGCACTCCATCCTCCTGGATCATCTACATAGCCATTTAGGTGTGCCTGGTTCCTTTCTGTTGTGGCGGGGTTGGATGGCTCCAGGCCCCATTACCCCTTAAAGAGGACAAACCACCCTGTTATACTGTGCCACTCTCAACAAGTTCATGTACCAGGATTTGGGAACCTTTGTCTTAGACAATCATAAGCACAATTCTCTCACTCTCTCCCTGTTATTTGAAGAGAGTGTCTCCCATTTAACGCCATTCTGATGGTACCTTTCTTGAAATCCTCATCCATACCTACATTTCATGTTGTTTTGATTGCCCCTCAACTATCTCTAGACTCTAGTGTTTGAAGACTGCCACTATCCATCTTCAAAAGAGTGAAGCTGTATTATCACCAAATAATTCCACTGACACCTCATTCATGTCAAAATTCAGTTCAATATTTGCCTCATTCTTAGTAATCCCTCTATGGGTATGCTCAAGCCTGCCTCATGGAGTGGTGTCTCACTATTCCTATACAGAGCTGTAACTAGACATTTTAGCATCCAGGGCAAGCAAGCATATTTGCACCTCCTGCTGATTTTTATTAGGCATTTCTCCACCCCATTTTACCACCCCAGTGGCTTTGAGCCCTAGACAGCTGCCCCACTCATCCCGCCCTTGTTATAGCCCCATTCCTATCCCTAATCTAGTACTAGTCTCTTCTTTCTCACTATACAACCTGGCTACTCTAGGGGAACAAGAACATCTTTATACAACATAAAATTGTATTATGCTACATGACTCTTGAAAATTTAATCAGGTTAAAGTAAGTCAACAATGTTTAGACAGAGCAACCAGAGATTACCATTTTCTGAATTATTGCCCAGTGCATCAACTTGAACAGAACATACTGTTAACACTAGGACTGAATCGCTAGGGCATTCTGTTCGTGGTTTCAAAAGGCCAGTACAACTGACCAAAAATCTATCTTCATTCTTGTTGCACAGATATACAGTTAAAGATCAGCAGGTAAAATGCTCTAGTCTAATTTCTGAGTCACTGTAGCACAACTCATGTCCACAAGAGGGCACTGATAGGACATTTAAAGCTAGATACAGTTTCATTTATCACTCAGCTATGTGTACATGGCAAAAGTTTAATGATAGTGGACCAAACATGCTAGTAATTCAAGTATCCAGCAGTAATGCAAGTATCCATTGTGCTCCACAGTGAGCTGGACATGAACTCGGCAGGAAGGTTTCTGTGGTACTCTGGTGTAGTAGATTGGAAATTCTAGAGCAGCTTGATGCAAGTTAAAATACGAATGTTTTCAATTATATATGAAACTGAGTAATACAAGGAAGACAGCCTGTCTTGTATTTATTTTTGAAGTTAAAGTCAATTTATTGAAGATGGCCTTCTGTTCTCCATGTGCCACAGGACTTTTTATTTAACACAAATGCATGATAGACAATGGAGGTTTTGATAGCTTGGCAGAGAACTGTTGGGATTATTGGTACCCAAGAAGATCTGGGAGGCAGTTTGGGATTGTGGGATATGCACTTAAATTGGGTGTGTCTGTTGTAAAGATCAATAGTGAATGCTGACATTTAAGAAAGTCGTTTTTAGATTTCACAGTTAACATCCTATTGATATGAATGGTCCAGTTCACTCTTCTAGGAGCTATTGTTTCAGGCTGCTGCAGCCTTAGGTCTTTCCTCACTGGCATTTTTTTCTCCTTGTATAGGAATCCTCCACGGGTGTCAAAGTGACTTGTACCAATGCACTTTGCCCTAGTTTGAAACGGGCAAAACCACATTAATACAAATCAGTATTACACAGTGCAGCATGCCTACAATAGGGGTTTGCCCTGGTGCAGTTATAGTGAAAGAAAATCCTACCACAGATACACTATCACTTTATATTGGATTCATGTTTGGAAGGTTTTTCATTACAAAATGAGGGTTAATGACAATGTTTTGTTTTTTCTAGCAAAAGCTCAGATTCTGGAGCAAAATTCCATAGCTTCTGTGGGGGGAAAAAAACAGCATCCACAGAATCACAAAATACACCAACCCCTATGAGCAGTTTCTCTTTGAGTATATAAATAAAATGTCTTAGACACATTAAAAATATACAGCCTACATAGGCAACTAATAAATTCAAGCACAAAATAACCCTAAACATTGTCAAGGGCTTGTTTTTGCAAAGCATTCATACCTCTGGATCCACCAGTTGGGGAGGACAGCAGAGGAAGGTGGGATGGGGAAGAAGCACACAAACATAATGAGGTTATGAAGGTTTTAATCAAGAGTTTGGGATAATCACATTACTCCCCTACGTTAGTGAGCTACGCAGGGGTTCCAATATTTGTACCAATGAAAATATTTATTCACACATAATCATGTATTTTATGAGCAAGAATTGGGCACTAAGGTCATCATCAGTTGTCATTGTTTATGTAGCCATAAATCATGTTACTGTGTAATCACAAGTTAAGGCCCCAGTCAAAACACACGTGTAGTTCCATTCACCCCAACAGGACCACTTACATACTTAAAGTTAAGCATAAGTAAGTTTTACACAGTCTAAGATTTCAAGCTCTGATTCAGGGAAGCACCTATTCACATGCTTAAATCTGTCCCTATTTAGCAAAGCACTTACGCACATGCTCAACTTTAAAAGCACATGCTTAAGCATCACTGAGACTTAACACAGGCTTACGCACCCTTTCTGAATAGGAATGCTTTCCAGGACTGGGGCCTCAATGTTTGAATTTGGGGATTTTTATGAATGTTTTCAATTATAGTCTTTTCCTTCACTTAGTATCCTTAACTGTATCTTAATTTTTGCTTTTCAAAGTATACACGCACAGAAACAAATAAAACCTACAAAATTCAGAAAATAAGAAAACAGTGGGAACTACTGCAATGGAAAAAATTTAACTTGCCAAGAATTAATGACTTCTTTTAGTTAAACATGTAATCAAGTGTTTGAATTAAATTGTAGATTAATGTAGTACTTAAACTATAAAAATGAATAAGGAAGTTTTAACAATGGGATCTACTAGTTTGTATTAAATGGTTAAAGAGAAAACCAGGAGTGGAAATTCCCTGTCAAATAGCCATATTGGTTGGCATTGCCAATAAAAATAGTCTGTTATAATAATGCACCTTAATCTTGGCCTGAACTACCATTTTTCTACTTTAGGAAGTTATTTTAGTCTTCCTGTTAGTTTTAACCCCCATGTCTTCAGGGATCAGGCTCACCAATGTCACTTAATTCTAAACCACCAATATCACCACATTCACAACTGCAATGTATCTGCAGCAACTCTAGATACCAAAGGTCTTCACTGGTATCCATAAATTCAGCAGGAATTTCCATTATTTAAGTATACTGAAAACTCTCTCATATAACAGGAGAGGAGCAATTGCCCTAACACGTTGGTACAGGATCAAAAGAGGAAAGTGCCAATATTGAAAAATATTTGAATTGTGTCAGATAAATTAATTTGGGTCTGGAAGGGAATTGGGAAGGTCATAAGCATCAAAGGTCCTGCAAAAAGCACGTATGACATATTTCAAAGTTAGTAGAATACAAATGTGCACATACATTTGTGTGCCTAAATTAAGTGAAAATATGTAGTGTGCATGCAATTACACAAGCCTGTCTTCAGAAAAACTGTCTCCATATGTTTAGACTTGAGTGGAGGAGACAGTCACCAGATCTACATAATTATGGATGACAGATATGCGGTCTTGTGGGTGAGGGAAGAAAGGTAATTTAGAGGGCAAAGTCTACAACTCTACAATAGAAAGCTGGCATGTAATACTCTGGGGAGAAGTATCAAGAACCTGTTTCAAGCAGGTTCTCAAATCCTTAATAAATCTTTAGTTCAAACAGGATGTTACCTGGAAAAAAAGAATGTGTGTGTCTTTTTGAATTAAGCAGATGTATTTGGTGTTCAGAAGGTGATTTTTCTTAAGTTTTTAGGTGACAAATATAGGCAGCACAGTAATAGCTTTACTGAGGATTTCACTAACCTGACCTAACAAAATAAGTCAGACAAGAGAACTGACAATGGGCATTCCTTCTGTACCACGAGAAAACATATAGCTAGCTGTGTTGGCTGTCCTAACACTTCTCTCCAACATGTAGGGAATTTCCAAATTGGGCAGAGAGAATTGTAAAAGGAAGAAAACGTCACATTATTCTTTCAATATAAAAAAAAAAAATCAATTCGGAAAGCCTACCACTTCTTGAGACACATAAATAGGACTTTTACTATCTGCTGAGAAATAGGAGAAGTCGTAGGTAAATGTTTTTGTCCGTTCTCTTCCTAGGTCTCCTGTTCCTCCTTCTGGTATCTACAGGAGACAAATAAATAAATAAATAAATAAATAAAAATTAAAAAAAAGAGTTGGCATGTTGCATGATAAAGTAATTAATTCAAAGGACATTTTGCAACATGGATGATTGGAACACAAACTTCATGCGAGAGCACACGAAGAGAGAGCATTTTAATGAAAGGCTATCCCTTTTTGTTATTCTAACAAATATACATGCAAATATACATACTTAGTGGTGAAAAAAGTAAGCAAGTAACATCTGCTTTCATAAGAAGGGGGATAGTCTTATTAAAAGAGCACTGTAGGCATGTTACGCTTCATTTTAAATTACTTTTAATGTAATGGCTCATTTTTGTTATGTTACTATGTAATGTTTACTGTTACTAGTTATTACAAGTTAAATTCTGTGTAGGAAATTCTAAGACAATATTCCAAACATTTACTTAAAGAACAAGCACTTTGCCATGTACAAACTGAATTGCATATGAAAGCACAGATGTAATTAAAATGGTCATATATGCCTTCAGCTTAAGGCTATTATCATGCTGGAGACAGACTGCTCATGACATTAGCAATATGTACTACTATCTGAGTCACAGACACAATTCTCCTTTCGGGGAAGGAACATAATGTAGTTGTTAAGAGCGGGGGATTATGCATCAGGTATACTGGATTTTATCTCCAGCTCTGCCACTCGTTTCACTATGTCATCTTAAGAAAAGTATTTCAACTTCTGTGCCTTGGTTTATTCAGCTATAAAAAGGCTATAAGGCTTGTGTACATGAAAGGTGCATCAGGTAGAATAGTGCAGGATTCTCAACCTTTTTCTTTCTGAGGCCCCCGCAACATGCTATAAAAATTCCATGGCCCGTCTGTGCCACAACAACTGTTTTTGTGAACATAAAAGCCAGGGCCAGCGTTAGGGGGTAGCAAGCAGGGCAACTGCCCAGGGCACTATGCCACAGAGGGCCCTGGGATGCTAAGTTGCTCAGGCTTTGACTTCAGCCACGGGTGGCAAGGCTTGGAGCCCCAGGCTTCAGCCCCAGGCAGTGGGGCTTCGGCTTTCTGCCCTGGGCCCCAGCAAGTCTACTGCCAGTCCTACTTGGCAGACCCCCTGAAACCTGCTCACAGCCCCCCCAGTGGGCCCCGGACCACTGGTTGAGAACCACTGGAACAGTGTTTATAAAGCACTGATGAGAAGGTGCTACCATACACAAAGAAAAACATCTAAAGATATTTGACTATGTAGCATTATTTAAATAATAAAAGTTTAAAGTAAAGACCTGCATTTTTTGTTAAATGAGCTAAAAGTATGTTTATTTGCTGAATCCATCAAGTAACAGAGGCATGATTATTTAGCATATTTTAACTTTATTGTACCTTTCCCTCATTCCCATTTCAAATTCTTTTGAAATAAAAATCTCAGCCAATTCCTACTTCTGTGCTGCCCAACTATACACAATGTTGGGATATCACATCTGGGGTGAGGATAGCAAGAGTGCATGCAGATAACTTGCCATAAAATGCTATCTTTCACCAATTTTTTCATTTATCTCACATACATTCACAATATATTTCATTTATACATTTTTCTGAAATCCCAGAAACCATGTGTATTAAGAAAGTCTTTGTAAAGCCACCCCATATAAATACAAATCTAATGGTATAACCCCTTTGGGGTATTTGTACATCCAGCTTCATTCCTGATAGCAGATGTAATAGCATCGTTTATGTAAGAGATGGTCAGCACAACTAGGACCTTAAATGATTTTAAATTAGTTATGTGTTGAAAGCCTCTTTAACATTTGTCATTGGAGGCTTTCAGAACATCAACATATCTTTAAATATTTGCAGGTGAGTTTTGCACACCTTGAAAAATTCTGCATACCTGGTGCAGTTAGTTGTCTTTTGGCAAGTAAGAAAAATTTAATAAGATTTTTAAATCATCTTAGTAAATAGCGGCAAGTAGACCTTCCACCTGATTTAGTAAGTTTTCACTACAATTTTGGAAGGCTGTTGGTACAGCAGGATGGAAAATTGGAGTTCATTAGAAACAGGGTATAAATATTTTTCCATTGTAAGCACTCATCCTCCAGCTAAGTGAATGGCCACAGCAATAGGAATACTTAAGAAACAGGTCCTATGGATTGCCTTTCAAATGAAATTTGTACAACAAACAATAGTAACTTCCCTATCTTGGTCTCCAGACAGCCCTTCAAAGATGTAGATAAGCCAGAGACCAAAGGCCTCTCCCTAATATCAAATGGACACTATCAATTACCTATTTATCAGAACCTTGTTTTGATGGCTAACTTGGTTATAATTTTTCCTTCCCAAATGAGAACACTCACCTTTATATTTGTGATTGTTGTTTTATTTTTTTCCATTGAAATAATAAATTTAGCATCCAGGTCCTTTTCCCTGTAAATAAAAAGCATGATATCAGTATGTTGAGAAAAAAAAAACTTTATCTTGCACATAGCAATCAAAGATTAACCGTTTTTATAAGACTACTTAGCACTGTATATGAATATTAGTCAATTTCTTTTTTCATTGAGGCAAATTGCTTTACATTTCTGATATATTTGTATTGCCCGGGCTTATTTCCAAGTCCCTTGTGCCAAGTCCCTTCTAGGAAAAATTCTACACCAGAAGTTTGATTAGACACCTAAATTAATAGTTCTCTCTTACTGGCAGATCTGATCCAAAGCCTGGTGAAGTTGTTGGGAGCATTCTCCAGCTAGCTCTAAAAAGCATTATGAAGGAAACCTTAACTCTTTCCACCGAGTTGGCAACAATTCTGTTTTGGCCTGAACCAGGACCCAACTTGGCTACACGGCCTAGGTAATGGACTGAGTACAGTTTTAACTGCAATTCTTCCTTAGAGAGACTCAGTGTTGACAACTCTCGCAATTTTACTTAAAAAGTTTCACAATATTTGGTGTTTTTTGTGATGTCCCAGCTGCTAGAATCTCAGCTTTCATTTAAAACAACAAACTAGCCTTCATGGCATTGGTGGGCAACCTGTGGCCCACGGGCCACATGCAGCCCATCAGGGTAATCCGCTGGGGGGCCACAAGACAGTTTGTTTACATTGACTGTCCACAGGCACGGCTGCCTGCAGCGCCTAGTGTCCGCGGTTCACTGTTCCCGGCCAATGGGAAACAAACTGTCTCGTGGCCCGCCAGAGGATTACCCTGATGGGCTGCGTGTGGCCATGGGCCCACCACTGCTTCATGGCAAACATCAAGAACCCAAAATTTATTTTTTAATGCTAATGATTGGGAGGGAGGGGGAGAGACTGAGTGTTTTAAATACTTGGAGTTGGCAGCTCTAGAGACTTTGGTTGTAGCCACAGGGGGCATGCTTCTCCCCTCCTGTAGTCTAACTGCGCCCCCCACCCACCCACCCGCCCGGGCAGCTGTTCCACAAAAATCTGTCCAATTCTGCAGCAGAGAGTGGGGAAGACAAAGGAGATCAACCCTGGAAAAGCCAGGACAGGGCAGGAGATAATCGAATTACGGCCCTGACGTATGCCCTCCCATGAACACCTGAAGACACCAAAGAAAGAGCAAGCTACAATCTCACTAGATCAGTTTCCCCTCACACAAACCCCTCTAGTGGCTGGCGACTTGGAGAATTATTTGGATAACTGATCTTGGAAAACATTCTCAAGTGTTAGCAACTACATTATAATCAGCATTCCTGCCTGTTTGAAATATCAGGAAAGAGCCAACTCAGAGTCTGGGAAACAGCATGTGCCAACCTGTTGCAGAGATTTGATTTCATTATACCTAACTATAAAACATGAGTAGTCCATATGTATATTTGTAATTACATTTGTTTTAATAAGGTTACCCATTAAAAATATTGTTACGCATAACATCCCATGCATTATAAAAATGTGTGAAATATAAAAGCTAAACTAAAAGAGCAAGTAGTGCTGTACACCAGACAAAATTATATTCACAATATTAGTCAAAAATCACATCAGCTTCTACAAATATCAGATCGACAAATCAGCTAGCAAATAAATAATCATATCTGACTGACACACAGCAAAGTAAAAGAGGTTAAAATAATAACCGTGTTTTCATGATTTGATATTTACTTAGGCCAGATTAAAATGAAAAATATCAGGGAGTAACTTCTTCCCTCTCCCCTCCCAGCCAAGGAATAGCCTTGCCAAGCGCAAGCGGACCAAGGAGATTTTTGGTTTAATATTTCCCTCCAAATGGTAGGCTGGAACATCACTTCTTAATCCTTGTTCATTGATAAGTCACCCTTTACCCCATTCAGTCTCCTTCTAGAAGTAATTCTGAAGGAACAGGAGAGCCATTTTAAAAACTCAGTCAATGAACAAAAGATAATAAATAATAAGCCAATAAAGATGCTTATTTAAATATCAATACATGATTACATTATTTTCTAACGCAATAAAAACAGACTTTTAATAGTGTATAGTTAATGCTGTAATTTGAATTTAGATTTACCAGAAAAAACACTAGAACTGCCTTTGAGGATGATCTCTTTATAACATTGATTTTTTTTTCACAACTTCTTCCAGCTCCCTGACTAGCTCTATATTTACAGATTGAAGCAAAATAATTCTGGTACTGGTGACAGACAGGGGAAATGGAGAAAGGTTTCCAGTGGTATTGTTACCAGGAGATGGTGTAAGAGACAATCTCAATCTACCACCCAACACTAGGGCCAGGTCTACACTAACCCCCCAATTCGAACTAAGGTACGCAACTTCAGCTACGTGAATAACGTAGCTGAAGTTCGAAGTACCTTAGTTCGAACTTACCTCGGTCCACACGCAGCAGGCAGGCTCCCCCGTTGACTCCGCGGTACTCCTCTCGCCAAGCAGGAGTACCGCAGTCGACGGCGAGCACTTCCGGGTTTGACTTATCGCGTCCAGACAAGACGCGATAAGTCGAACCCAGAAGTTCAATCGCCAGCCGCCGAACTACCGGGTAAGTGTAGACCTACCCTAGGTTTCAGAGGGGTAGCCGTGTTAGTTTGTATCAGCAAAAATAATGAGGAGTCCTTCTGGCACCTTAGAGACTAACACATTTATTTGGGCATAAGCTTTATTAGGTTTCCAATACGTGATTCTTGTAAGTTGACAGGGTCCCTTAAAATCTAAATGGAGACCAATTATGTAGCCATAATGCAGTCTAACATTACTCCGCTGAAGTCTTTATTCAAGTATTATTTGGAATTGAATTTTGCTCAAAACATTTGGGACTGCACGCTTCATCTTAATTACCAAAAAATTAAGCAAAGTAACAAGCTGCCATTCACTGTCCCATTACCATTATATGAGCATTGAAGGCCTGAAAAGAAGCCTATTGCAGTTAGCAACTTTTACAATACACAGTACTTACATGCAATCTGAGCAGTAGTTCACAATTTAGACATGAGCTTCAAACACTGCCCAAAAACACATTATCACCACAAATAAGATACAAGCCTATTTCCCTTCATTATACAAAATAAAATAAAGGGAAAGGCTACCAAAACGAGTTCACGTTTAATGGCGTGATCATTTATTGCACTGAAAGAACTTGTTTCCTCTGAAATCAGATCTATTCTCAAGCTAATGCTCCACTCCAATTTTCAGCCTTTCACCACTGCCACTTCATACACTACTATGCCGAGCTCTATAATTAAGCTTATAACCTATGACCTCTTGGCTCAGAACCAACGTTATAAAGTGATCAAGACAGGTAAATTGCTTGACACAGATGTCAGGAAATATTTTAACTAAGTATTTAGTATTAACCCTCTAGTACTACTAAATTCAGATATTCACCCAGACCGTAGGGGGAAAAATTCTGGAGAACTATTACGGATATCAGCCCCGTGTTTCAGTATCAAGAGTACCAACATCAGAAATTAAGGTACGCTAACACAGGGGTCGGCAACCTTTCAGAAGTGGTGTGCCGAGTCTTCATTTATTCACTCTAATTTAAGGTTTTGCGTGCCGATAATACATTTTAACGTTTTTTAGAAGGTCTCTCTCTATAATTCTTTATATAATATAACTAAACTACTGTTGTATGTAAAGTAAACAAGGTTTACAAAATGTTTAAGAAGCTTCATTTAAAATTAAATTAAAATGCTGATCTTAAGCCGCCGGCCTGCTCAGCCCACTGCCAGCCTGGGGTTCTGTTCACCTAGGCTGGCAGCGGGCTGAGTGGGGCCTGCGGCCAGAACCCCAGCTGACAAGGGGCCAGAAGCCAGAACCCCAGGTTGGCAGCAGGCTGAGCGGGACCAGCGGCTGGGACCTCAGACCGGCAGCGGGCTGAGCGGGGCCAGCACCCCAGACCAGCAGCGGGCCGAGCGGCTCAGCCCACTGTCGGTCTAGGGTTCCGTCCGCTGGCTCCTGACAGCCAGGGTCCCGGCTGCCGGCCCTGCTCAGCCCGCTGCCAACCTGGTGCTCAGGGTGGGGATGTGCGGGGTGCAGGAGTCAGGGCAGGGGGCGGGGGGGGGCTGGGATCAGGGGGGTGCTCCCTGCCCCCTGCCCCGAGTGGCTCACGGCAGGGGGCTGGAGGGATATGCCCCGCTCCTACCCTCCTTCCCCCGCCTCTTCTCCGCCTCCTTACTGGTCTGAGAAGTGAGGGCACTGGGGCTGCTCTTCTCCCCTCCCTCGCAAGGGCCATCGGCAGCAGGGAGGGAGGGGAGGCGGGGTTCGACGCAGCACGCTGGGGGAAGAGGTAGGGGAAGCTTGGCTGCCGGCGGAGCCTGCCCTACAGCATCAGCCGGCAGGACCAAGCTTGCTTCTGTCCCCTGCCCCCGCCAGAGAGAGCGGTAGGCGGGGGGCGGAGAAGAGCAGGCTGAGTCGGGCAGGACTTTTAATGGCACGCTGCTGCCTGCCGGGGTCCGGCTCAGCCCGCTGCCGGGGTTCAGCAGCGGGCTGAGCAGGACCCCAGCAGGCAGCAGTGTGCCATTAAAAATCGGCTCACGTGCCGTCTTTGGCACATGTGCCATAGGTTGCCGACCCCTGCTCTAACATTAGTCTGTATGTCTGACAAGTGGATTATCTGCTCACAGATTTAATAATTCTTCTTCAATTTTATAGGGCTAGGATCCGACATTAGGCAGAGCCATGAGGTGGGCTTGTACATAAACTGTACTGATCCAGGAGAAGAACTGAGAAACTGTGACTTAGAGACACTTCTGAGTCATTTTTTCTCCCTTGCTTTCTCTATGTGCTGCATTACTACCCATTCCCCATCAAGATTCTAGTTCCTCGCTCAACTACTCCACAGAGGGAGAAAGCAGGCAAGTAGTCCTTCTTATTCCTATACACTTGGACTTTAGATCTGGCCAGCCCACATAAAAGGAGGTTTTTTTCCACTGCATGGGCCTGTAATCCAAGCCAAACCATTAAAACTATCCCCCCACATTTC